TGGAATTCTCTAAATGTTCTCTGTCCTTTTTTCTGTGATTTTATACATGCTGGTCATCTACTGACCCCTACTCCCAACCCGCTGCTGGCCAGATAAACTACTACTCATCCTTCAAAACTCAATCCAAATGACTGTTCTTTGAAGTGCCTTTCCTCACCTCTCTGGGTCCCTACCTCCTCAAGGTCCTGCTCCTGACTGATGATATAACTTATTACATTACTTATTGTTTGTGAATCTATCTGGCAACTGGCCTAGGAGCTCCCTCAGGTCATGGTAGGAGTTCTTGTCACCCATTTTTTCTTGAGTCCTCTGGCACTTACCACAGTGGCTGATGTGCAGTGAGGACACAGTGCATATTTGTGGAAGGAATGAGTAAAATTGCAAAGGAAACAAAGTTTACCTTGAGAACTCCACAGCTCCCTACAGGAGTCTCTTCTTTTAAAAAAAAAATATTTATTTAAATTAGTTTCAAGTATACAGTACATTGGTTAGACATCTCCATAGTTCATAAAATGATCCCCCCAATTGCTTCCTCCGTCCCCTGGCCTTCCACTTAGCCATCATATTAGTGCTAACTGCATTCTCTCTGCCGTGCTCCCCATCTGCATGCTCAACTATTAACTACTAATTAATACTTCTTTAACCCTGCACCCCACTTTCCAGCCCCCCAACTCCCCTCCCCTCTGTCCGTCACTGAATTGTCCACTATATTTGTGAGTCTATTTTTGATTAGTTCTTTTTGTTCCTTAGATTCCGCATGTAAGTGAAATCATATGGTATTTATCTTTCTCTGTCTGACTTATTTCACTCAGCATAATAACCTCTAGGTTCATCCACGTCTTTGCAAATGGTAGGATTTCATTTTTTTAATGGCTAATAATATTCTGTTGTATATATGAGCATTTAGGGCATTGATGGGCATTTAGGTTGCCAAGAGTCCTTCTTTACCTTTTCCAGCACCCCTTCCCCAACTAGAGGCACTCCATATCCTTACGTTGCCTACTGTAGAAATCCACCAGGACTTGCCATTATTGCTAAAGCCCAGGCTTTAAACTTCTCCCTTGCTATCCTACCAAACCTTACCAGTCCTGCGTTTCATCACTCCATGGCTAGATTTCAGATAAAACAGTGGTTCTCAAACCTTAACATAAATTAGAATACCCTGGGAGCCTTCTTCAAACACAGATTGCTGGGTCCCAGTCCTGGAGGTTCTGATGTAGTAGGTCTGAGGTGGGGCCTGAGAATTTGCATTTCTAATAACTTTCCAGGTGTTGCTGCTGCTGATCCAAAGACCACATTTTGAGAACCACTGGAATAAGCAAATGTAAAAGCAGGGACAGCAGGTAAATAGTGCACAAAGGAATCCTTAGTTCATCTTGACTCAGCCCTTTAACTGAGTTTGGGATTCTATCAGCACTGTCTGGATTTAGTTAATCTCAGATCATGGTAGGGGTTCTTGTCACCTCTGCTTCACCTAGTCCTACTCCTCCCACTTTCTGATCTTTTCAGATTGTTCTCAGAGCTTCTTCACTTTAGACCAACTCTACCATCCTTCTCTTCCTTCCATAATACCATGGTTTCAGGACAAAGCCCTTTCCTGAGCTCTGAGCTCCATTTCACTGCCCTCTTCCCCCTCCCTGTTCTCCCAATCCAGTCTTAATACCCCTACTTCAGCAGTCAGAGTGACCTTCCTAAAGCTTGGCTCCAATTAGGGCCTACTGCTATCTAGTAGGAGTGGCCATTTCCTCTCCCTGGGGTATCTGGTTCTACAAACAATATTAGCGTGCTAATGACAGTCACCTGCTGGCTCTAGGAAGTCACTGTTTGCTCCAGCTTCCTTAAGGACAGTGGAAACACAGAAAACACATTTACATGCTTCTGTGCATTTATTCACCCAACAAACTTTGATTAAGCACCTGCCAGACACTGTGTTGGGCCCAAGGGACCCTGCCAGGACACATAGAACATGAACACATGTTCATGGCAGTGCCTGAAAGCCCACAATGCCTCTTCATGAAGGGGATCTTTTGGCCCCATTCATCAATGAGGATAGACATTGAAGGAAGAAACAGACTACGCATGAGCCCTCTTGCCTTAGCCTGCCTGTCTGCCCAGGACCAAAGACTGGGAAACACAAACCCAGTGAGTTTCTAAATCTCTTTGTTGAAATAAGCATTATAATCCACACCTCTCAGTTACTGGCCCACTGCATTGAGTGAGGTAAAGTATGTGAAGCCCAGAACGTAGTGAGCTAAAACTTCTCTACATATACCCACACCTACTCTGACACACACACAGCGAAACATATCACAATACACACACTGACACGCACATACCGACACACACACACCAACATACAATACTGGCATACACACTTGTACATACACATACTTACCAACACACACTGAAAATACACATTGACACACACTGACACACACACTGAAACGCACATACACTGGCAGACATGAACCAACAAATACTAACACAGGAGTAAACACATTCCAATACACACACACATTGACACATACTGAAACACAGACACATGGCAAATATGCACACTGACATACAAATGTACATTTACTCACACATCAACACTAACCCACACCCCACGGAAACTGCGAGGCCCAGCCCCCAGGGGGCCTTGTAGGCAAAGGCAGCAGGTCATGGAGAAACCAAAGGGCAGCAGGAGACTTGAATTACACACTTGGTTCCAGGCTGAGAGGTCCAGCGTTTTGAAGGAGGAAGCCTTCTCGGGGTTCTCAGAGTCCCTAGGGACAGGCAGGTGGAGTGGGGCACACGGGCGGAGCACCAAAGATTCCGTGTTAAGGTGCTGAGCTGAAATGTCCGGAGGTCAGCGCCGGAGCACTAAGCCGGGAAGCAGTGAACCACGAGGCAAGCAGGATTCCCCAGATTCCTGCGCTCCGCCCGCGCAGCTCTGCAGGCCCTCCCCTCTCTGGGTATCAGCTCTCATCTCTGGTTTCCAAACGTAAGCTTCCTATCCCACCACCACTCAAGTCCCTTGTCCAGATCAGAGCTAGTGACCTCAGGCCCTTCCCAGGACACCATGCCCCCGCCTTTGCCAGGGAAGACCTGTCTCCCTCCGAGATAGCAAGCCTGGAAGCGTCCAGTCACCTCTGACCTCTCGCCTCCAATCAGTCCGGGCCCAGTCTTACAGCGGTTCCTCAAATACAGCCTCTTTGTATCTCTTCTTTCCTTTATTACCAGCCCCCACACCCCGCTTCTCGCACACACATCCAAATCCTCTGTACTCCTGTTCCGGACACACTCGATTGGTTGCTTCCTGAATGCCAGGCCCCGAGCTAGGCACTGGGGATGCATTGTGCAGAGTCCTTGTCCTTCAGGTGCACCCTGCACGTAAGGAGCTCCCAAGACAGAAATGAGAAGCACTGTCCCGGAAGGTGGAATCAAGTGACAGAAAAGTGCTTCATGTAGCAAGCCCATTTCTCTGCCTTACCTCTTTCTCCCCAAGCCGGGGCCTCTGGATCGGGTACCTTCTCCCGCTCTCTCCCTGATTCCTGTTTTTCTGCTTTCCTCCCTCCTGCCTACCCCTCAGCCGCTCCCACCTTGGGCTGCTGTGGGGCCATTTCCTGCATCCCCTCATCCCGGACCCCCTGCGAACCCAGTTTTTGCACATAGACTTGCCTCCGCCCCCAGCCCCCGAGGTCCCAGGTGCCACTGGAGGGTCTAGGTCCCTCTTTGAGACCAAGGCACCTGCACTTTTGAGGAGTGGGTTGGAGTGTCCTGCCCGCTCTGGCCTCGGGGACGCCAAATATGCCAGGATTCGCCAGTCCCAGGGAACTAGCAGGGGCCACTCTGGGCGGAGGGGTGGGGGCTTCAGAGGTGGAGAGGTGGAGAGGTGCCGAGGGCAAGGGAGGGGACCCGCGGCGGCAGCTGGCCAGGAGGAAAAGGAAAGCAGACAGTCATAACCTCTGCCTTCCGAGATTCTCTCTTCTGTTCACCGCCGGCTGCCTAGTCCCGGGCTCACCCGAGATTAAGAGGCAATTGGGAGGCGGGACAGAGCCACCAGGGGCCAGTCCCCGTCACTCCCCACTACCTCACTCGACAGAGCTAGGGGTCTTCATCTACAAGCCCCTCCTCTGACTCTCCAGCGGTCCAGGCAAGAGGGGGGTTGGGAGGTCTGAGCCATGGCTATCACGCTGAGCGTCTGGGGCTGGGTGGGGAGAGGAAGTGTGGGGCTCGTCTGTATTAAGTACCCAACAGTGATGGTTCGGGTCTACGAAATTACAGCCCACGGCACCCGAGACTTAGAAACCCCAGGGCCAAAGGGGCATCTTGTCTCAGGACCGCTGACCTCGGACTCCGCATGTTACAGCTCAGTCTCGGGGCCGCAGTGCGGCTCCCCCCGCCCCCTTTCTAAGCTCTACGGAGGAGCGGCAGGTGCCACAGCTGCCCACCCCGCTCAGCCGCACTCCGGGTCCATGGGAGTGTGTGTGTGTGGCGGGGGTGGGGAGGGG